AGTTAGGCTCTGGTGCCTTTGGAATGGTGCAAAAAGCACAGCTACGTGTTGAAAATGGCGTCATGACCTGCGCAGTTACGATGCTACAAAGTAAGTATTTCATAAGCAACTTGCACTATGACGTCAGTTTACTAAAACTACCAGAATGCTCTACGTATTTGTTTACTTTTTTTATTCCCTTTTGAGATTAGTAAAACAGCGAACACTAATTACATTACCAAAAAGTGGGAAATGCATTCTGGTAGTTTTATCTTATGGGTCGCCCATCGTGCAAATTGAAGTACAACAAAAGGTTTCCAAACCACTTCCCTCTATTAATTATGCTAATAGGCCAGCAAAACTTGACGTTTTTTTAACTCGCTCGCTTTCTAGTTGCATCACCATGCTTGTATAGTCATGATTTTCACACAGGAAGTTAGCAAAAATAATTCAACTAATATATGTGTGACAATCGTAACAATACAAGTATCCTGATGCGATCGAGCGAGTTAAAAAAGTATTTCTCGGCTATCACTTAACTATCTTTTTTCCATTTTGTTTACACCAGAAATAGCAAGCGAGGAGGATCAAAGAGATCTGTATCAAGAGTTGAACACCATGGACAGCGTTGGTCGTCATGACMACCTAGTGAATCTGATTGGTGCTTGTACATGTAACGGTAAATACGTTATTTTACTATCTTATTCAAATAAGCACCTTGATGAATTGAGCTGGTATTATCTGGCCAATTGTACAATCGGGGACTAAACTGTTGTCGCGAATGGACATAAAAGCTGCTCTTTTCCACCATTTCTTTAACCTCTGCGTGTGTACTCTTAGCTTCATGAAACACCTGACAGCACTTCTTTCGACTGAGAGTAGATAGTGGCCTAACCATCTTCACTTTAAGCGAGAACATTCATGTAAATACCCTTTCATTGATAGGTCCACTCATGATTGTACTTGAATTTGCCGAGAAGGGGAGTCTCATTGATTACCTGCAAGATCACGTGACAACGGTGGATGGRGAGYATGTCTGCTCTCTCRCTGAAAGCGAGAAATTRARCATTAGCCTTGATATCGCTAAAGGAATGCAGCAYTTGGCTAAAGTTAAGGTAAACCGAATGCTGCTATTCTATTGAGATTTCCATCCTGTAYATTATATAATTCCGTATCAAAGCTTTCTATAGTTCGCAAGCTAAATTGGCTTCATGAAATTGAAATAATGGAAAGTTATAGTGCTTAGAAGGAGGTTATTCCGGGAGAAARACCCTTASAAAAATTACTTTCCGACCGCCTAGGATTAGGACCCACGACCCTCGGATTTGTACGACCGATGGTCTACCATCGGTTTCGGGGTGAAACAGTTGTTAGGTTGATCATACCAAAATAAACGATACTTTGCTCACTTTTTTTGTCTTGAGAGGAAAAAAANTCAACAATTTTTTCCTCGGAAATCATGGTATTACAAAGTAATAGCATGGCTTCCTCGGGAGATTAGGGATTAAATGTCCCTCAGCCTCGGGCAGATAAGGAAAAGTCCCTCCGGACTGCGGCCGTCGGGACTTCAACTTATCTGCCCTCGGCTTCGGGGACATTTAATCCCTAATCTCCCGAGGAAGCCATGCTATTACTTATAAATAGATGCTGATACCGTATCTTATGTCTTTATTGGTGGCTATGCCTCCATGTGGCTTTTACAGGTAGGTTCAGCTAGAGGTAACTAACCAACTAACCTGTACAAGATGTGCATCTACCTATATAGTGTGTGTCTTACAGGGACCGCGGAGCGTGAATTTGTTTGGGGGGGCTAGCGGCGAGGAGGTACTAGGGGGGTTTGAAATCTTAACTCATTTCCAGCGTTTTGAGGCGTTATCAAAGACATTTTTACCGCTCACACGGTCAGCGATATATCAATAAATCCCAAAGACTTYGCAAAAAAGCTTMATCACGCTCAGTTTTTACACAATTTTTATAGAATATATATGGTGAAATTTCATAAGGAGGCTCTTCGCTTCTTTTAAGAAAATTCAAAATGTCGGAAAAATTATTGGTTCAGCCGAGGCTGAGAGTGAAGAGGCTATACCCCGATATAGTTTTAAAGTGCAACTRAACCCTAYTAGAAAATCAATTTAAAAAAAGGCAATGATGATGCTAAACACTGTTTTGAAGAAAAAAAAGTTGTTTGAATTTTATTTTCTGAGTTAAAGGTATTTGAAAATTGAAAATGCTAATGAAGTGACGTCAATTAAGGAATTGGGCTGGAGGTTTTTCATTGTTTGCGATATCTTGTGTTCGGCCTTGAAATTGTCAAATCATCAATAACAGTGATATTCAAGAACTGGAAATTTCATCTCCAATATAAAAAAAGAGTAATCAATTTTTTTTCGTGATTTCGCATATTAAATCATTCCTTAGTAGACGTCACTTAATTTGCATTTCCGATTTTCAAATGTTTCTAAATCAGAAGATATAAATTTGAAAGATTTTTTCCCTTTGCAGAAGTGCTTAGCAGCATGTTCTCTTTCGAATGAAATGACTTTCTAGTAGGGTTCAGACAGTTGCACTTTAAGTTGAATTTAAATATTAAATATGAAATTAAGACAAAGGGAGCTCTATAGAGAACTAACTTTCTGTCAAGTTATATTATAAGGATATCTAGAATAAACGATGCTGCAATGCTTTAACCCAACGAAGGGCGTTTTAGGGTACGCATTGAGGTGCAGGGTTACAAGGGAGGAGTCTATCTGTAGTTGGTGTAATATTACATTGCTATAAGACGCGTGGGGATATCCTAGGTGATAAAGTGGAAACTGAAATAAGGCCCCTTGTAGTCTCATTAGATTGTCAAACTTATAGTTCTTGTCTGACAGCTTAATGGAATATTCGAAAGTAAAAAGATGGAAGTGACAGCTAAAGAGTCACAAGCTGTAATTAGACTATGTCTTAGTTAGGGTGCACAACGCTAAGCAAGACAGTGTAGAAAACCTATAAAATAGTAACCTAAGTTATATTCGAGATAAATGTATTGGAATCCTAATAGACGTTAAACAGCTAAACGAAACGTGATGTATACGAAGCAAATGTCATATTTTATATCTAATCAAAATTATGTCAAAATAAGTATATGTTCTATTGATGCAATAACTCAGGT